AATGGTAATCTTTCTTCAACATTTGCCTTAACGAATTCAAAATTTTTAGGTTTTATCGTAGTTGGTTGGTGTGGAGATATATCTAATCCAACAACCTTAGCTAACGGGTAACTAGGAACACATTATAAAAATTAATGATTCTTATAAGATTACTGATTCTAATAAGTTTGAAAACCAAAAATTTACAAGTATAATTATATCTCAGGTGTACATACGTGGTTGCAATATCAAAAGACCATGAACCTGCGCCACAGCTAAATAGAATAAACGTAAATTTTAATGCAATGCTAATATCAAATTTTAATGCAATGCTAATTTGTTTAACAAAATAATCAAGATATAACTGTTGATTTAATTTTATGGAATATAATGTATTTATAATTAAAAATTTCAGTAGTTTTTTTCTATCAAGAATTACCCAACATCGAGGACTTTGGCACCTGGTTCAGACAAAATGCTGCCGACAGGAGCAAAAAAGTTGCTTTGCCAGATACAGTATATTTAAATAAAAAATGCTGTGAATGTAGCCTATCAATTTCATTTTCATCGTTTGGTAAATTGTATTTAACGTTTTCCACGTTATGAAATCTTCTACCATTAATGTATCTAAATTCAGTTTGTGAACTTTGAGTATCCGTAGACTCAATTTTTTCACCTAATTTTAAATTAGAGGAAATACATCCCATGGCGGCATTAACATTTATATTACATAAAAATAATTAAAGAATGTAAGAAAATTGGAATTGTTTTGAATAATATAAGAAAGTAGAAATTAGCAGCAAAAAAAAAGTTACGGGCTAACTTCCTGAAGTCCAATTTTCTGAAACCGAAGTCGTAATACTGATGATCCATTTTATTACCAGAACAAAATTGGACCATTTCGCCGACAATCAATTCATCGACATCTTGTTTCACCGATAATCAATTAATCGAAAAATTTGTTTCATTTCACTAAATCCGACCCTAGCGACAATGACGAAACGAACGGAACCCGAAATGGTCTTGTCAGGAAAAGGTATATAGGAATTATGAAGTTGAGATCGGGAAGATGGGCTTCGGTAAAGTAAGCAACAACGCTGTGTCAACACTTTTTGTCAAC